AAAGGGAATTAAGGCCAATTTAGGCTGGTTCAAAAGGGACTAAAGTCGGTTCAAGGGTAATTAGCTTGGTTCAATCTAGTTTAAGAGTTTTTATACAAACACAGCAAATGTTATATATAGATCGATTAAAATTTATATATAGTATGAAAATTTATCTAATTCCACTAAATTTAGATCAGATACTATTCACTGGACACTGGTCTCATTCTATTTTTATCATGCAAATGCAAAACATGTTAACCAGTGAGTCGCAGTGTCTCATTATCTGTATCAAAGTGTCTCGAGCATATTAGAGAGAGATTGGGCTTGTTGTTGGTTTGTTTTTAGAATAGGGGTTTTTTTTTGTAATCTACTATATTTGTTAAGTTTATGTTTGACTTGGTTGATGTTTTTTTATTTTGTTTTAGACCAACTCGAGTCAAATAAGACAGTGGTTAAATTGTTTGATAGTCTTATGTGGATCCAGTTACAAAAGGTTGTTGGGCACTACCTCGCTATCACTCCTCAATCAACAAGTCAAAGTTGCAGTTGAGGTGTGACATACAAAATATTTATATCTACATTGTTTAGTAGTAATTTCTAATTTTTTATACATTATATCATATAATTCTCACAAATTAATGTAACACATAATATCACATGATGAGAAATTTGATTTTTTTGATAATTCTTAAAAATTTTAAAAATATTTTTTAAATTTGTGAAAAATAAGTTTAATCCTCTTGGGGTAATGGTTATGTGGTGTCGGCTAAATCTTTTTAAAATAAAAAAAAATCTATACATAACATTAAAAAAATTCCTAAACTTGGACTCAAAAAAACTATAAAACTTTTACTCTTAGCAACAAAAATAGGGCTTATAAAACAAAAAAAAAAAAAAGATAAATATTTTTGGATTTAAGAATGGTAGGTTGGTAAATAAAATTGCAGAATATAAAAAAGCCGGCCTCCTATTTTGACTACGACCCGACGAAGGTCACCTGAACCGGGCAAGTGCAATGCAAGTGCAACGCTTGACGATAGACACCAAAAATAAAATTATTGGGACCGCGGGTCAAAGTTGACGCCCAGCCTGGCATAACGTGCGACAATTCGCATTAAAAGCTGTGCATAAAAGCTGGCTTGTCGGATGAGGATTAAATATAAATTCCAAAAGATACATATCCTTTCCCAAATTGAATAATTAGTAAACGGATTAAATTGTAAGTTTCAGAAGCAAAAAAAATGATTTTTATTTATAAATAATATAACACGTTTGTTAATTACAAAATTACAAGAATGAGTTAATTACCATAAAAGGATATAAAAAATTTAAAACTTCTCAATTAATAAATTATTTACAAAATTTATCTACAATTAACAATTAATTCTTAATTTTTTATAAGAAAGAAAAAACCCAAAATTGTGGGTGACAAGTGGTTCTCATAGATAGGAAGCAAGAGAGCACCAAGCAATTTAGTTGATGTTTGAGTCTACTCAAGTACGTACAAAACTTAACATCAGTACTCATTATTAGGTATAAAATCATAACATCCGTTTGATTACTATTGTAATTATCGCGTTAAATAATTATGCCACGGTAACAATTATTTAACTACGCTACCCAACTAAAACAGCGGTCAGCGTCAGATTCACTGCGGTAATTTGCGCATTGCGCAGCTGACAGGGACAAATGCATGTCTAGACAATGGCACAGGGATTGAACAGAGCTTAATCACGTGACGAATGCCCCAACGAATCCATCCCGACAAAACTTGAAACGAACGTATTAAATGGATTTAAATTCACTCGCTATCCGGTCCATGAAATTTATTTAGAATTTTAATTTTAAAAAAGGTTAAAAATGATGTAAAATGAAGAATATGAATGAAATCGAAGGGCTCGTGGTACAATATTTTAATTAGTAGGGAATAGGGATCATAACAGAGACCACGACCTTCCGCCCTCTAATATTTACTTATTTCAATATTAAAATTAAACTTCTCCGATCAAAAAAATAAATAATAAATGAAGTATAATTTATCCCAAAAAATGTTATATCAAATTACAAAATAATTCAAAAATTATAATATCCTAATTTCTTAAATTCTAAAATAAAAAATGATAAATGGAATCCAGCAGCCTCCAACCAAACAAAACGTGGGTGTTTGGTTAGCCAAAAGTTTAGGAATTTTGAGCTTTAAATTTTTAAAATTTTTTTGAATTCCACAAATATAGTAAAAGAGAAGATTAATGGAAAATCTGAGATTATTAAAAATCAAAAAATAATTTCTTTTAATTTATAAAAAAATTGACACGATTTTTTTTTAAAATCATATTTAATATTGAAAAACAGCCCAAGGGGTTCAGAAGTCGAATCCCTGAAGTCTAGGAGGAGAAAGAGGACACGTTTGAAACACTTTCAGGGAGGTGAAGTGAAGGGCCCTCCAATCTTCACTCGTTTTGGTGGCGGTGATCTTGGAAATGGCTTTCGTATGTAAATTAATGGCAATGAATAAATCGGGTGGGTTCCACACACCAAACAACCGCGTGTCAATAAAGGGCAATCGAAGCAAAATTCCACTTTTCGATGGCTTCGTTTCAGTTCCCACTCGCGACGGCTGAACCAGATTTTTTGTTTTGAATTTTAAAAAAACATTGGTTTTTTAGTGCGGTGTATTTTTTAAATTGATACATGTTTTTAAAATACAAACAATTATTTTTTATTATTTTAAATATATATTTAAAATATTTTAAAAATAATTAAAATATTATTTTTAATATGTATTATATATATTTTTTAAATATGTTTTTAAAATTTTATTTTTTTTATATATTATTTAAAAAGAATAATTTATGTAAAAGAATTAGAATGTTCGAAACTAATACGAAAAATAATAAATTAAGAAACTAATGTAATAAATAAAATAATAAAATTAATATATAAATGATTAATATACATATATATATAGTTGCTTTTATATATAAGAGTGAGAGAAAAAAATTATTTTTAATAAAAATAAAACAAGTATTTTTGAGATTGGGTATAATTTTGAAACTTTGCTTAGTCTTAGACGGGAATACTTCACTTTTTAAAATATGTGTACCAAAACTATAGTTTGAATAATTAATTATTCTGACAATTTGGTTTAAAAAATAAAAATATGTGCTTCTAAAACTATAAAAGAATAGCTTCTAATATTTTAAAAGTAATTGAAACACTGTTATTTTACCATATACTTTGAAGGTATATTTCTAAAAGTGCGTTCTTTTATACAATATTTTTTAGGTAAGGATTCATGTGAAAAAATCAGAATGTTAGATGTTAAAATAAAGTAGAGAATAAATTAAAGAATTTATATAAGAATTGAATAAATGAAATTAAAAGATAAATAATGCATATATTATACAATATACACCAAAATATATTGTATATAAAAGACTTTTTTAAATATAAATAAAACAACTTACTTAAAAAACGTTTGTGTTCTGTTTCATGAGTAAATATTTCAATTTTTAGAGTATATACTTCTGAATTAGTTTTAAAAAATAATATTTTTAAAATTTTAGTTTTAAAAATAGAAACACGTACCTTTAAAATTATAAAAAAAAACTACTCTTTTAACTTCAAATGTCTAGAGTTTGGGCTTTTAGACTTTTGTTGTTTGGTATTTTTAATTTTTCTAATTTCAAATTTAAGTACAATTTTAAATTTAATCAAAAATTTTAGATGTACACATGAATAAGTCAAAAAAATAAAAAATAAAAAAACAAGTTTTTCATGAAACCTCTTCTCAAATCTCATTTTTGAGTCAAACAGTTAAATATGTGTGCCTGTATTTTTTCTTGGACTAAAAGTTTTGAGTTTTTTTTTAATTAATATTTTATAAATCTAATTAAATGACTCATGTAAAGAGAATTGATTTTTTTATCAAATTAAATTATAAAAAAATAACTAAAAAATTCATACAGACCAAAAAGGATTTCGGGAACGTTCTAAATCCGAAAATTTTAATTTATTTTGTACTTTACGAAGAAATAAAACAAAATTATTATATTTTTGTTAGAGTAAGATGATAGAGAGTTAAAAATGAATGAAACAAAAAATAGCAATCGATGTCAAATTGTGAAAACTCAACACAATTGGCACAACAACCGGGAGGAAATCTTCCCAAACCCAAACATAGTTGCTGAAAGAATAAAAATACTTTTTAATAATTATTTATTCAACCTAATCTCTATTATAATAATCTAAATATAAAGGTAAAATTATCTCTTCAAAATATATATCCCTATCTTCTTACTAACATAATATTCCGAAACAAAAAATAAATCCAGATAATAGACAATAAATAGTCCAGCGAAAATTGAGGATCAGTGGGGGCTTGTGATCTTGTTGGGTCAACCAACAAACAAACCGAGACAAAGACTAAGCCAACCGAAACAGAGACTACCAGTTATGAGTCCATGGATTTGTGAGATGGGCCGAAGGGGCAACTCCCGTTTTGTAACTGGCTAACCAGGCTAACTTTGATTGCCATACTAATTTTTACATCTACTATATATCAAGAAAATAAAATAAAAAATTCTTCTTCTTCTTCTTCTTCTTCTTCTTCTTCTTCTCTCTTGGATTTTATCAAAACTTAAGTCCAAAAATTACTTGTAAAATAGCTGTTTTCTGGTATAAATTCCTTTCCTTTTTGCCTCAGAAGAAGAGAAAGTTCTTCATTTTAAATACAAAATACAACATAGTATCGATTTTTTTACATTATAAAAGAGGAAAACCCAATATTGATTACATGCTTATGTGTTAATTACATATATATAAACTAACGGCATCTGAAAAACACCCAAGACTGGTGGGAACCAAATTACTAGTAGCTTAGATGTACCACCATCACCACCTAGCAATAATAAACGAAGGTTGAAATAATTGGAAGAAATTCACATTGAGTAATTCCAGCAAAGATATTTAGTACTGATCTGAATCCATGTATAGCAGACCTGCCATCAACAAGCACTCTAGGAAGGGGTTTTGAACCATTTGCACCTGCGATAGAGATAGGTCTTGTATGGTTGTTCGGGAACTGGTATGCTCTTGACTATCCAAGCCAGTGGCCAAGATACGGCTGCTATTATTATGCTTACACCCCACTGCCACAAATTCAACCTCTCTGTGTTTGCAAACTTGCTCAAGAACTCAACCATGGCCACTTGAAGAATCAAAGTTGTCACCACGATCCATAGGAACATTCGATTGCCCAGTATCCCTTTAAACACATTCTTATCTTCCAATCTCCTTGCGTTGAATTCATTAAAAATTTGGCACAAGACGAAAGTGTTAAATATGAGGGTGTTCTTAACCCCTGTATTCACATGGAAGAGAGATTTTCCCTTGAAGTTAAGTATCAAAAGGATAATGACTTGAAAAAATGCTTGAAAAGTGAGGTTCCTCCACATAACATTGGTTATCAATGGCTCTGTGCTGCGACCGACGGGAGGTTTAACCATCAGTTCATCTGTTGGCCGCTCTGTGGCCAGAGCTAGAGCTCCTAAAGAATCCATTATTAGGTTTATCCACATCAATTGAATTGCTGTTAAAGGGACTTCGCCAGCAGTGCATGCTGCAATCAAGTTGATAACAAGGGCAGCCACATTGACAGTTAGCTGGAACTGTACAAATTTTTGGATGCTGTTGTACACACACCTTCCCCACTTCAAAACAGTCACCACTGTGTTGAAGTTATCATCCAAGATGACAATGTCTGAGCTCTCTTTTGCCACTTCTGTGCCCTGAATTCCCATGGAAAGTCCCACATCTGCTTCTTTCAGAGCCGGTGCATCATTTGTGCCATCACCAGTGACGGCAACCACGTCGCCTTTTTGTTTCAAGCACTTCACCATTTCAAGTTTGTCAATAGGGGATGATCTTGCCATTACCAGAATTTCATTCACACGCCTTAGCCTTTCCTCCTGGCTATAATTTCGAAATTCCACACCTTCTATGGCCTCACGCCTGTTTGCATTACTATGATTTGCTTCTAGTATCCCACACTCCGCAGCTATAGCTTTTGCAGTGAAAATATTATCTCCAGTAATCATTTTGACATGTACTCCAGCCTTTTTGCAAAGAGCTACCGCTTGTTTCACCTCTGGACGACAAGGGTCCTTTAGACCCACTATGCCTAAAAAGGTCAAGTCATCTTCATCTAATGTTACGTTGATTTGTTCAGACCCTGCTGGCTTTGTTATTTGCTTATGAGTAAATGCGATACACCTGAGGGCTTTTGCGGCCATCCCTTCTATTATTTTCTTGATTTCCTCTCGGGTACCATCATCTATTACTTTGATCATTCCAGACTTGTCATAGTAACTCGTACACATCGCTAGAATAATCTCAGCAGCTCCTTTCCAGTGGACATGCAATGTGTCGTCCTTCACATCTTTTATCAAAACTCCACTGCGTTTTTTCACTGAATTGAAGGTCTCAACATGGAGAATTTCATATTCCTGCTCCATTTTTTCTATTTCCATACCTAGTTCTTGAACAGCCCACAAGAGAATTGCTTTCTCAGTTGGACTTCCTGTAAACTTGGTCTCGGATGCGGGAGTGTCTTTGTAAACACTACCGGCGGTGTTCTTAGCCACTCCTTGATAAAGTAATTCAAGAATATTGGGAGCAATTACTTCAGAAGCCTTACTCTGAATTCTATCTTTGCCAAGCCAGAATGTTGTCACTGTCATTAGGTTGAGAGTAAGTGTACCTGTTTTGTCCGTACAGATGACAGTAGCAGAGCCCATCGTTTCGCAAGCTGAAAGTTTTCGAACCAGAGCTTGATCTCTCATCATTCTTTTCATAGAGTAAGCCAAAGTGAGGGTGACGGCCAGCGGCAAACCTTCTGGAATTGCCACAACAATAATTGTGACTGCAGCAGCAACAATATGTACCATGGAATTCATGACATCACCCAACTTTGTCTGCCCAGCAACGAACTCGCGACGCCCATTCTCATCTTTTGTGCTACCAGTGAAGTAGCGCGTCAGCATGGCCACAAGAACAAAGAAAGCAACTGCCAAGCCAATCTTTCCTATGGAAGAAGTTAAATGGTTTAGCCGAGTTTGCAAAGGAGTTTCCTCCTTCAAGTCCAGGTTTATGGCGCTCATCATCTCACCCCACGCGGTGTCCATCCCCACGGCCGTGACAACCATTCTCGCGTACCCGTTGGCCACCTTGGCGCCGGAAAGTAAGAATGGATTGGTGGTCTTATCCACGTCAACATATTCGCTCTCCCCTGTCATGCTAGACTCATCAACTTGTAAGGAATAGCCTTTCAAGAACAAGCCATCCGCCGGAATCTGGCCTCCTATCTTCAAGATCACAACATCTCCGACTACGATGTCGAATATAGAGATATTATGCGGCCTACCATCTCTCACGACTTCAACTTGGATGTTGCTGCTGATTTTGGACAACTCCTCGAATTGTTTGGATTGCCTGAAGTTGGTCACCGCAGATATCACCACGACCAAAAAGACCGCAACCAAAATACTCGCACCGTTGTACCAGCCCTCCTTGATGCCGTCTTCTTTAATGCCAAAACCAAGAGAAAGAACAGCACAGACGATCAGAACTATAATAGTAGCATCTTTTAAAGCTGTCCACAAGAAATGCACGAAGCCCTTAGCGGGTGGCTTGTTGTAAGTGTTAGAACCATACAGTTCTTTCCGCGCGCTCACTTCTTGGTTCTCCGCTCTGATTCCTCTGTCAGCATTGCTTTGTAGTTTGTCAACTATGCCTTCCACTCCGCCAAGCCGACTAAGAAGACCGAGATTTTTCTCCTTCACCAACACTTTGAGGATTTCTTTGTCCTCGTCGATAAGTTGATGGTGCTGATTAACTAGACTTTGGTAGCCAGGCTCCGGGTCGATGTCGAGGGCGCTGTGTCCTCCTTTAACAACAATTTTAGCTTCTTTAGCAAGACAACGCATGGCGTGGATGGAAGAGATGACGGAATAGGCAAAGCGCCACCTCTTTCGCGGCTTTTCACCGCTAGGGTCGGGGACGTCGGCGGCAACAGCATCAGACCCAGCATCAGACCCAGATCTCCCCCGGGAGTGGAAGGAACGAAGACAGGGTTTGTTTGACATTTTGCAACGATTGGAATGAAGTCTGTTGAGGCAGTGAATGTCTAACTAGCGACCCTTGTTAATTTGGTTTTCTATTACTACATATATATAGGTAAAGAAATCTCAGTTAATTCAATTAAAAAAATAATATTTTTTGAAAATATAAACCCATCCTTGCCTAACTCCTAAGCAAGGATTTTATATGGTCGATTCCAAAATTAGAAACTTTTGGCCCCTGTTTGGAATGTGGAAAAATTAAAAGAAAATAAAAATTATTTTATTTGCAATTTTTACATAGTTAATATAAAAATTTTAATTTTTTAGTACAAATTTTTATTTATTTATTATTTTGTAATAATATCTTGAGATTTCTTACAAATCATATGTATCTATATATTAAAAAAAATTAAAAGGAGAATAAAAGTTATTATCTTTGCAATTTTTAAACATTAAATACAAAAAATTTAATTTTTCAATATAAATTTTATTTATTAATTATTTTCTAGTAAAATATATATATATATATATTGATTTATAAATTATAACCAACGTGTTCCACAACTTTGCAAATTAAAATTTAAGATTTATTTTGGATTGCTTCGGATAGTAAAGCATTAGATTCATGTTCATGACACTTCATTCCTTGCGGACTTTTGGACTTTTGGAAACTTCATGGAAGCCTCCTTGGTTCTTTCACTAGCAATTCATGGCTAAGTTACTTGATGCTTGCTGCAATTTGGTGTTGAATTTTTTTTTTTAATTATAGAAAGTTGAATCCTGAAATTTTTTAATTAATTTATGTTCTAAACTTTTAATATATTAGAACAACCCAGTTAAATTTATGAAAATTTTGAATAAAATGCATAAAAATCTAAGTTTTTAGACATGTTTGCCAAACAGGGTATATGTGAGTTTTAAGAATTTCTCAAATTATAAATTACAAAAGCACTTTTCGGATAAAAATTAATTTCTTATGTACAATTATTTAATACAAGATATCTCCATATTCTGTCGCATGCGAAACAGAAGTTTAAATGGGCCATGGTGGACTCAAGTCGTCGTGGGGAAAACTTGGCAGGAAAGCCTTGAGGTGAAGAAGGAAATTGTTAGGAGGAGGTGTTTGTAAGGACATTTTTTTTTATATAATTTGATTTTGGTTTTAATTATTAAATAAATTAGATAAATTAAATTAAAATATATAATTTGTACATATAATATATATATAATTTATTTGTATTATTTGATGATAAAATTTTTATTTTTATTATCTTTTATATTTATATTTTTTATAATTTTTTTAAAAGTAATTTTTATTAATATAAATTGAAGTTTTATTAGTCTATATAAATATATTTAGTGTATAATATATAAACGTTGTGATTACTTATATTCAAGAATAAGAATTAGTTTTAATTTTGTGAAAATGTACTTTTATTAATAGACAATTATAAAAGCACTTTAAAGAATTTCTCAAATTTTAAATTTTAAATTACAAAAGAACTTTTTGACAAAAAAAATTTAATTTCTCATTAAAGTGATTTTTAACTTTTTAAAAAACAAATGTTTAGAGGAGACCACGGTGGATCCAGGCAAGCATTGGGTCCCACAATATTAGCTTGGTAGGAATGACTTAACGCAAAGTAGGAAATTGCAACTTCTTACTTTTTATCTTGCTATGGAAAGGAAGTTGTTGCTTTTGACACTACAACTATGAATTTTACTATTGGTTTCATGATTTTAAATTAAGCATAATATTAGTTATTTGAATTAAATATATAATTTTTTTATTTCTTAAATTTAATATAAATTTTATTATAATTTTTCAAGTCATTTTTTAGTCACTCGAGCCTCACATATAAAGGTTAAGAGGGACAAATTTATTATTAAAAAAATGGATAGAAGAAGGGAAAAAAATAGCGCACCACGTGAATAGCCTTTATTTTCTAGGCTCGACCTCTACTACAAGGGCCAAAGATTGCCATGCTCCAAGCAGCAATCTATTTGCCTCTGTTCCGACAATCACAGCCACTGCAAGAGTCATATTACTCTGTTTTAGTGACATTTGGGTAGAAGCAATAGCAACTCTATTGTGACATGCACCCCATTCCAACATAGTTCTGTCAATTTTTTGTTAAGATAGAAGTATTGTACCGATGTAGAAAATAAAAATTATATTCCAACTACTTTGTTTTTGGTAGTTTTGGTCAACATAATCTTTCATCTTTGGCACCTTTTCTAATAACAAAATTACCCTCACTAAATATTATATATGATACATTGTAATATTTTGTTCCACATTAATTTTTGGGAGTAATATGATATAACATATTAAGCCTGTATAAAGCCTCAAATAGCTTGTTTTGGTAGTGCATCAAAGGAGAGAAAGGAAGGAAAGAGGAGGAAGAAAGAAGGGAAATAAGAAAACAGAAGCTAAGCTTGATTTTGGCGAAGATCCGATAAGTTTTCTAAGTCTTTTATTCTATCAATTTTTAAGCATGTTTAGGATTCTTTTCTTGTAGTTTATCATCTAGTTTGGGGGAGGTTTTTCATGTTTAAAAGTTGGGCTTTTTGGAAGAAAGAGGGCCGTGAGCTTAGTTTAGGAAAAATAGATTGTCTTGAATGAATTTTGGTATTGTTTTAAGAAGTTATGTTTATGTGGAATTTAGATTTATCTTCCTACAAGTTTGAGGTTATTAGATCTAGTTGTTAACTAGAGGAAACTCTATAATTTAAATAAATAATTTTAAGGAAAGAGGGCTGAACCTACAAAGGGATAGCTTTACCTTCGTTTAGTTGAGCTTTGGAGCTATATGCAACTATGTTTGGGAGATAGTATTCAGTTGAGTTCTTTTCCTTTGGTCAACTTAAGAACTTAATTAAGAAGCTATTTTGATGGCTTTTCCGTGAGAAAAAGTAAAGGGAAAGTTGGGAGGAGATAGATACAAGTCTTATTAGGAAATTAGGGGATTTACTCAAGTTCCATCCAACATGTCCATTCATATATCCATTTTAAAGACATATTATTAATTATATGCATTATGCTATCATAGGAAACAGATGGGCAGTTGTCAGTTTTGTATTTAGAATAGGAGCTCTTATATAATTTGATTAAATCGAATTGATTATGTTAAATCTGATTGGTGGTGTTTTGTTTTAGATTAGCTTGAGCCGGATGAGATAGGAGTTACAATGTTCGACATTCTTTTGTGGGTCCAAGTCATAGAAGTGTCACACTCCAACCATTTACAACTCAAGGGGCATGACAGCCGGGCAATAACTAACACACTGCCGAGTAAAATCCGGCAGCATGCCGGCTACTGTAACCCTTTCTAGTTGGCCTCAAGGGCCCTATGTCTGAGTACCTGCTTAAAACATCATCAACTTCACAATACTAACATAGCTTGCAATAACTCATCCAATATATAGCTTAAGCATAAATCATCCTGTAATACATTTTATTAATCATCTAACATCATGCTATGCTAAAAAATCATCATATATGCTTAACCAATAGTAATTCATTCATAAGACCTCAACATCACATATTACTTAAAAATTCTCTAAAAAAAATAAGACAACTTCCCAATATATATGACTCATCCCAATCTATATAAACATAATCAAAAAGATCCTCGCAGCCTGGCCCACCTGGTACTAGTACGTGAGCAAAACACAACATAAGCAAAACGAACACCGAGGTTCTAACTTAATGTCTCAACATCTGCAGGGGGGAAAAATAAGTGGATGAGACCAACGTCCCAATGAATGGTAATCAAACTAATCCCAGTGGAAACAGTCAGTTTTTGTATCAATTTAAACAATATAAACATTTTTGAAGAGTTTCATATCATGAGGCATAATAATTGAATTTTCAACAATGCAAAAGCTAAATTTGTTATTTTTGCAAGTCATAAAACATAAGAGAGCATAAGCATGAATCATAAGAGTCTTCGTGGGCATCATAGAAAAATCATAAAAATCATATTACATAATCATATTCACATGTATACTCTGGTCGGATGTGCACAACCGAAGGTGTCTGGGGGTAATAAAATCATAAAACATAACATGGGCTCTCATTGGGCAAAACATAAATATGTCGAGCGCTACTACACCGTGTAGCTCGCGCTAGGGGCCGCCAATCCCCGGCCAAGCCAACACAGTTTTTGGCGCATGGTCCCTTTCCCATTAGGGACAATAAACATACATATATGTTGTACACGTAGAACCGCCACCTGCCCCAGATGGCTGCCCGACATCATAATCTGGGTGCTAAGGCACCAAAATAACATAAACTCATGAAAACCATGCAATTAATTATATACTCGAAATCATAACATAGCTGGATTGTTTCCCATGTTTTCAGTAACAACATATATTTGAGTTTGAAAATGAGCAATATTCATTGTAAATCATAATTTGTGGAAATAAACTAAGATTAGGAAGATTCCCACTCACCTGCAAAAATAAGCTTACAAGGGTACTTTTAAAACTGCAGGTCCAGGTTTGAAATAACTGGGGTATCCTCTCCTACAAGGGGGATACACAACATGAGAGATAATTCCTAAAAACACCATACGAAAACAATAACTATACCCTACAACGTACAAATACAAATTTTCCTCCATTTCTAACCTTTGGGTTTCATCCAAACATGCCATTAACTTCTCTCTAACCTTTGGGTTTCATCCAAACATGCCCTTAATTTCTCTCTAACCTTTGGGTTTCATCCAAACATGCCTTTAATTTCTCTCTAACATTTAGGTTTCATCCAAACATGCCTTTAATTCCTCTTTACCATTTATATTTCATCCAAACATGCCTTTAATCTCGTTTTTCCCATTTCAACTCTAACCAAACATGCCCTTATTCCATTTCAACATCATCTCACCCATTTCTCTCACATTTCAACCATAATCACTTCAATCAAAGTTTAATCCAACTATAACAATATAAATAATCTCAAATAAACAATATCTAAGGGTACTTGAACAAAAATAATCATGGTTCAAGCAAAATATCTCATGGGTGAGGGTAAACCCAATTTCTCTCTCTACAATACATAATAACATCCAAATACAAAATCTACACCGATTAAAAGCTATAAAACGAGGAGAGGAAGCTAAACATGTAGAAATATTGAAGAAAAACCAAATGGGGTTTGAGATTGGACCAAAATACATACCTTATTCTTCATTTTCTCTTCTTTCTCTCCTTCCCTCTCTTCCTCTCTCTATTTGGATGAAAATGAGCTCTAGAAAGCTTTCCCCAAACTTTAAAACTATCCCTCAAGTAAAATGACCATCTTGCCCTTCATTAAAAATTACCCTCAAAATTAATCCTAATTAATTTTTGGATAAATTTTGGGTATCCTAGGATATCTCCCAAATCTTTATTTTATAGTGTTTAGAAATTTAAGAGAGTTTAAGGGTCCTTGGAGGGGTTAAAAATACCAAAATTTCAAGAAAATGGGCAAAAACCCGTGTTTGGCGCACTGTAGCGCAGTCCAGCGCGCTGCAGCGGCCAAATTCCAGTGGCCATCGCGCTGTAGCGCCTGGGCCGCGCTACGGCACGGTAAACCAGCGAGCATCGCTCTGTGCCGTGCCTCAGAGCGCGCCGCGGCACGCCTCGTTGCTACAGTACCCCCGCCTCATTGCTACAGTAACTTTTTTTTTTTTTTGTTTTTACAAAAACTTCATTTTTTTCCAAAACTTCCAAAACACTTCCTACGTTCCCAAATTCCTCAAAATACCCTCTAAATAAATTTAAAACTCAATAAAAGTGGTTTAAGAATTATTATTCTTCTTTCATTCTTTCTTTTTCTTTTCTTGTCCTTTTTCTTTTCTTTTTATTTTCTTGTTCTTTTTCTTGAAGTTGGTTTTGGATGTTACAAGAGTATTGAATACTGCCCAGCTATCAAGTCTTGATCGACAAGTTAAGGGCGAGGTGTGACATGTCTTGTTTAGATACGAGTATGGATTTATAACTTAACAAGAATGTCTAGTATTTAAATAAGAAGATTGTAATATCTTTTTTCATATCAATTTTTAGGAGTGATATAATATAATATGTAATAAATGAGAGACTATTACTAAATAACTTAGATTTAATCATTTTGAAATGAGCAATTTACACTCAATAAGTTGTTCAGACTAATAATTCTTGGTCGATGTACACACATGACCAGATTCTAGGTAAAGGATACTAAAAATTGGATATAAAATGACTTGAGAGGCTAAATCGGAACTTATATTAAACTTGAATGATAGAAATGTCACACTTTTAATTTAAGTGACTTATACAATATTTAATTTAAATTTAAGGGATCAACATTGAAGTTTACCTCATATTCCAATTATGTGACGAATTTCAAATAAGGTGTGAAGAAAAATGATAATTGAATTAAATTATAAGTAGGAGCGTGGTGTATTTTAACATGTGTATTTTTTTAAGAATATAGTAATGGATTTATAATGAATAGTATTAAAGTTAATCCTTATAAATTTATTCTATGTGACAATTACTATGAACCTTACCTTAAAAACATTAAAAATTGGAGTGAAAAAGTATCATGAATCCGATTGAATTGTTACTAAATTCTGTATCTACTAAGATAATACTTAGTACAACTGTTGAACGTGTAAAATTAAAAAAGTTGATATTCTTAAGTGGACTTGACCAATTGACTTGTAAATTGCTTTAAGGGTGGTTCAAGCAGCCAACATCATTCTAAGAAATTCATCATAACTAAGAAGACCATCTCCATCCAAGTCAGCCACTCTAATCATCTGCTCCACCTCTTCATCTGTCAGCCTCTCTCCCATCTCCTTCATTCCATTTCTCAACTGCCCAAAAATACAACCACTTTCTAATCAAGTACATACTATATATATATATATATATGTATATTATTCACAATTATATCTCTTATATATCTATAAAATAATATAAAAATAAGCTTATTCACACATTATGAGATTTTATGAATATTGTTTTATTTTTTATTATGAAACCAAAAATCTTTATTTTATTTATTTAATACAAGTTCTTTTTTGTCTGATTTCCAAAAAAAAAAAATCGTTTGTGAATATAAAATTATATTTATATTTGCTTTTTACTCTTTTCTTAGGAGTGTCTCTTTTTAATACGAAAAAAAAAAATACACAAACCAACTTATCAAGAAGTTAGTTTTTCATTTTTTCTTTTTCTTATAATTTATTTTTTAGGCTTTTGTTATTCAACCAAACAACACCTAAACATAACAAACCATTTTTCACAAAAACAAAATTGTAACAGATGAAAGGTTGAAAATTTTACCTCTGGGGCTGATATGAATAAAAAAAAAATGTAATGAAAGTTTCCTTTATGTCTGATTACCAAATAAAATAGTATTTACATTTGGCTTTTCTATTTTCTTATGAGTGTCTTTTTTTAACACGAAAAAAAAAGTCATTTTTTTATTTTTATTTTTTTATATATAAAATACACAAACTAGCTTATCAGGAAGAGAGCTGTTTGATTGTAGGAAATGCTTTCTATTTTTGTTTCCTATTTTCATTTTTTACTAAAGATTTTCATTTTCATATTTTCAATTTTTGGAAATATATGCTTAATTTGGTTTTGAGTTTTCTATTTTCAGGAAATGGTTTTATTTTGTATTTTCTATTTCCAAAATTTTTTAAAAGAAAATACTGAAAACAACTTTTTTATAATTTTCAATTTTCAGCTCATTTTCCAAAAAAACTTTTGATAAAAATAGAAAAACATGCAAACCAAACATTTTTTTAACCTTATTTTCTGCTTTTATTGAAAATAAAAATAGAAAACAGGCAAACTAAGCAAGTCTTTAATTTTTCTTTTTTTTTTCGTTTCACCTTTATTTCTTTACGATTTAGTTATTGAACCAAACAATCCCTAAATATAACAAACCATTTCTTAGTTTCTTTTTTTATATAAAAAAATGAAATAAATGGAAGGTTGAAAAACTGACCTCTGGGGCAGATATGAATCCATCTTGGTCCTTGTCAAATACTTTGAAAGCTTCCTTTAGTTCTTCTTCCACCTCACTTTCCTATATATCAAAAAATAAAATAAATAAATATATAATAATAATAATAATAATAATAATAATGAAATAAGTAAATAGAAAAAAAAATCTCATGCATGGTTTGTTATTACCTTCATCTTTGTAGACATGAGATGCAAGAACTCTCCAAATTCAATGGTTCCATTTCCATCTATATCAACTTCATTGATCATCCTCTGCAGTTCTTCTTCTGTTGGGTTTTGATCCAGTGATTTTATCGCAGTTTCCAATTCTTCCATGGTTATGCAACCTACTCCATCATATTTCTTAGTTACACCCAAAATTCAAAATTGAAAACAAACCCTTCAACACAAAACATGCAAGCTCTTCTTATCCTTAGTTTTCAGTCCGGTTCAAGTGTAAAACTGGCCAATATAGTAGAACCCAAATGGTTTATTAGCCAAAAAATAAAACAGGGTTTAAAAATTTACCATCTCCATCCTTGTCCAGTAGGCAGAAAGCCTCCCGAAATTCAGCAATTTGTTCTTCAGTCAAGACATCTCCCTTGTAATATTTCATCTTCCTCGCATACACAAAAACACAGAAAGAACTTTTTTTTTTTATCAGAGGAGAAGAATTTGAGAATGGCAGATTTGCAATAAACCTCACCTTTATGTATATGATGGAGGAGATGAAGAATGGTGGGTGTTATCTCACATTTTCTAGTCAGCAATCAATATGGAGGTTTTGATTCCAACCGTGCTTACCGCTGAATGTAGAAATTGAAGACACTATGGACCTTTCTAGAGGAAGGCTAATCTAGACTTTCCAAAGGGGTAGAATTTGAGGTCGTTGCTTGCCCCATCCTCAGTTCCCTAGTCATAATTTTTAAACTCTTGGAATTTGACCAAAACCCATTTCACTAATTTCCCTTCCATTTTCAAAAGCATGACAGACATTTGTATTATTGGTGCCGTGCTTGACCCACTGGGTTAATAATTTCAACATTCATTAAATCAAATTAGTATTAGTATTAGTATCAATTTCTTAACATCTATTAAATTAATATTAGAATTAACATTTAATATTGATTAATAGATGATAGAATTACAAATACATTGAATTTCCTAATATCAACTACAGATTATTTTTGTCTCACAAATTAAAGATTAAATATTGAATATCAAATTCTTCTATTTCTTTTAAGTTAGATATTCAATGAAGAAACAAATAAAAATAAAACCGTTTTGGTTTTCTAGACCGGATCATTTAGTTCAACTGGGTATCGATGGCCAGGATGTTCTTTGGCTTGCATGTTTAGAATTATATGCACTTGAACTGGCTTATTGCAGAAATTGATAAAATCTTTCTTCATCATTTAGAAATTATGCCTATCCAAACAAACATACCTCTCGGGAAAACAATTAAGAAACTATTTTTATTCAATTTTATAATCTATCTGACAGTTTAGGGCCTGTTACGAGCAATTAGTAACTATTAGAACCCAAAATTTAAATTAAATTAAAATTTATTTTGAACCAGATTGAAGTTTGAAATTTTACGGTGTTTGGTATAAAAAATTTTTAAAGTTAAATTTTTAATATTTTAAAAAAATTATACATTAAATTTTAAAAAAATCCAATTTGAAGTTATAAAAAATTCTAAATTAAGAGTTTTGGAATTTAAGCCCAAGAAAGTGCTAAAAATTACAGAAACAGTAAGACAAGAGCACTTCATCTCCGTCAATTGGCAATTTTGTGAACGTAAAATTTGAGGCTGAGGCCAATTTGAACGAGTCCGGACGTTGATTTCTAAGAAAGAACAACAGTCGCTACATGGTATAAGGAGGCCGACTTGTATCATTTAATTATATAGTAGTATAAATGAGGGGCAGTTTAGTCTTTTCACAAAGTTATACTCGTGGTACAACGAGCCCTCTAATTTAAGAAACAAGTTCCTCGGGAATGTTTAGTGGGTAAATTTTAAAAGTGCAAAGACTTTTTCTTCTTAAAGATAAAAATTTAATATTTTATAATATTTTAATTTTATTTGATTTTTTTAATTTAAATTACACCTAATTCTTTTTTAAACTCAAATGACACTCAGATTATACTCATTTCAATATTAAAATCAAATTAAAAAATAATACAATAAAAATTATTTCAAAATTAAAAAATAATAGAATGAAATTATTAAAAGTTTTTGATTATTTTTAAAAATTAAAATTAAGAAATTTAAAAAATAATTTTATAAGTAAATTAAATAATATTTAATTTTTAATTAGATAAGTAATAAAAATATACAAAATTAAGTTATTCTCGTAGCTTTTTAACAAAACTGTTAGTTAACTATCACACCCCAAAATTAGCCATGTGACCAATACTATTACTAGATTTCTAACCTTGATAAGTCTAGAACAAAACGAATACGTAAAACTAAACCAGGTTCATATAACCAACATGAGTACATATAACGAAAGTGAATGGAGTTACTTTAGAATACAAATAACATATACACAATGCTAATACACTGGAAATAGTTCAGCAAAATACTACGTACTCGCTTAAGGAAGCAATCGAAAAGATGAGTTCTTATTACAATTTAAAAATACTAGAAAAGAGATAAGTATAAAACTTAGTGAATAATAATATAAATTCTAGTCATGCTGCGATATGTACCATAAAACATACTAAAACGTATACATGTAATAAAATAGTGAGCAAAATGTACATATCATTGAAAACTGTACAGATATGCCTCACAGATTCAAAACATACGGGAGTATCAGAGCACTAAAAATCTCATTTCACGATAGAGTATATCAAGTTAGAGGTATCACATATCATACATCATATCGGAATTCCGTATTGAACCAGAACTAAAGCATATAAAGAGCCCATAATACTAGAACACATTTGTATTTGTCAGATACTCATAATAACATAAACTATAATAATTCTCGACATATAGTTTCCAAAAAGCATACATAATAGAGGTATGAATTTAAATCAAAATCAAATATTTCAAGTAACTCATTGAAATTTTTAAGAAATCAAATACCTGTTTCAGGGTTTATCTTTTCAAAATTAATAAACCATATTATACTAAATAATTACAACTAGAGTTAAAAAATATATGTATAGAATAAGTATTATCACTCATAATACAAGATAGAGCCAAAAACCCCGGTTTCGAGATAATGATTTTAGCGATCGTAGTGCATTTCCATGATATATCTGTATCACGTGATATAATATCAAAACCAAAACTGAAACTCAAACCAATTAAGGACTTAATTCTTTCATAACCTTGGCACGCATCTTGAGATTTATTAGTTAACACCCAAACTTAAAATGAACCAAAAACATAAACTAACTTTACATAAAAACCCTTAAAACAAAGTGAACCAATCTCAAATATCTCTGAATTGGTTTGAACCGGCAAGAATCGGCCTTAATTACCATTGAACCTGCTAGAATTGGCTTAAAATACCATTGAACCAACCTGAATCAGCCTTAAACACCCTTAAACCAAACTAAACTAGTTTCAAATACCACTAAATTGAATTGAATCGGCACAAAACACTAAAAGAAAATGAGTTAATTTTGATGAAACAAATTTGTCAGAAATTTCCATTTTTGACATATAATTCATCTGTCAGAAAAATTTTTTGACAGAAGATCTAGTCCATAAAAAATTTCCGACAAACTTCTTCTATCTGAGATAAAAAATTATTCTGTCAGAAAATTTGTTATTAAATTTTGGTTGGAAGCTCAATTTTTGACGAAAATTTCAAAATTTTGAGAGAGAGGATCCAACTAACACCTCCCTATCAAAATAGAAGGAATTTAAATTCTCATACAACATAATTAACTCTAAGAAAATCAAATTGTAGATTTTTTTTTTTAACAATTTAAGGCTTCCCCAATTTTTTCAAGTATTTTAAAATAAAATTGAAAAAGGAGAGGAGGAAGCTTTGGGAGGCCGTAGGATGTGAGTTGGTGTCTCCAATGGCTAGCTTTGGGTCTACAGAGGGAGAAAGTGGAAGGTAATAGAAAAGAAGGAAAGAATTTGCTGGGTTTCTTTTTTTATTCCAGCATGCTCTGTTTTGGGTTTAGAGGGAGAGAAAAATGAGAGAAGAAGATAGAGAGTTTGCATCTTGAAGAGAATAGGGCTCTCTTCTTGCACTACTCTGTTTTGGGTTTGTAGATAGAGAAAGGGGAGAAGAAAATAGAGAGCTTACATTTTGAAGAAAACAAAACTTTCTTCTTGCCCCCGGTGTGAGATTGGGGTTAGTGGTGATAGCATTCGTAGTGTTTGCCAAAGAAGACAGCTACAATGAAGTGGTGGGGAGGGAGGAGGAGAAGCAGGTGTAGAGAGAGAGAGAGAAAGAGAGATATGGGGAATGGAGGTTATAGATTAAAAGGAAAATTTTTTGACAGTCTTCACCGTCGAAAACTCACTAGAAAATTCGACCGAAATTTTGAAGTCCCACCTATTTTCTTGGGCGGTTTCCAATGGACATTCTTCCATCGAAAACACCTTTTTTTCTTTTTAATTAAAAAGCCATTTTGGAAACTTTTATTTAAAAAATATATTTTTAATTAAAAATATTTTTTTGATTTTTCGATGACTTATGTCCGTCGAAAAATTTTATTTAATGCAAAAAATATATTTATTTATTTTTATTTTAAATTTAAAAGTTATTTTTATTTTTTCGACAGACAGTATTACTTTTCTGATAAATTATTTGTTGAAAAAGTTTTTTTCGTCAGTTTTGAAAAATGTTTTCTTGTAATGAAACACCATAGAAACGAGTTAAATTAGTACCAAATACTAAAAACATATACTGTACCAGCACCAAACATTGCAGAACCAAGCTGAACCAATCACATTTGCCTCAAAACCAACCTTAAAACCTCTAAACTAGACTGGTTTAGTCGTAAAACACCCAAACCAAATTGAACTGCTAAATCGGCCAACACTAGCCTAGTTGAGTCAAGCCAATCCAATTGGACTAGCATAAACCCGGATTCCATCTAGGTTTGTCTCTTTCACCCAGAATCCATCCAAAAACCTATTTCCTACAACTAAATACAGAAGCTTAAACTTCAAAATTCAAGCCACTTACCTCACAATTTGATGAAATCAATGGCTAGAAACTGAAAGCAGAGATCGACGAATGGATTCCAATGCCCAATCATGAACAATTCCAGCTGAAAACTCAAAATTTCTCCAATGATGAGGTTCGGACACTGACGAAAACTTCCAAGCAAACTAGTACAAAATTTTATAAAATCCTAGCATGAGTCATGAAATTGGTCATGGGGTCTTGTAAAGGACCTCAAATTGATCCTATATAACCAAATCTAGGTGGTGAAATTGCCAAAATTACATCCAATCAATGTTCAAAGCTCTCAGTTGACTGCCGACTGGAACCTCTCCATGCTTCCTAATCGGACCCCTCAAAGTTTGATTTCTTTCAATCAAATCTCTAGATTTTTTGATTTGGCCCTTGAAGTTGTGCACCTTTTACCTTCATCCTCCCTCTTTATCTTCTTTCAATTTAGCCCCTAAAATCCTAAAAAAGCCCCAATTGATTTTAATTTCTTCAATTTGGCCCTTCCAAAATTTCAATTAAGCCCCTGCATATTTTAATCTATGCAATTAGGCACTTCCATACACTAATTGATAAAATTTCTATTAATTACACAACTAGAGTTATTATATCAATAGTTAGTTAAAAGAGAAAAGTGTGTTTTATTGGTAAAAATGGGGTTAAGTATTATTTAAGTAAACTTAAAGGGAGAAAATTATTTTTTTTCCTTTTTCTTTTTTTATGTCAAGGAGCCTTTTCATGCTTTAAAAATCAATAAAAATTTTAAAAATACTCTCGTTTTGATTAATACTTATTACAAGACTCCAAAGTCTTGAAACTTTAAAAAGTTAAAACTTTTGTGGTGTCAAACAAGGCCTTGTTGGGATTATTGCTGTACCCTTTTCTTAAAGACAACTTGAGAACTTTAAAGGGGCTTAAACAATTGATTACGTATTTAGTTAACATAATTAATCTTGCAGAAATCTTCATCTTAGATTCCATGGCCTACCTGTTAGCACTTAGCACAGCCGGCCTTGAAATAGACATGGCTAAATTTAAAACCAACAAGCTAGAGCCATAGGCTTCTTCCTATATGCGTACTTTTCAGCATAACATTCGCCACTTAGATCGCGTAGCTACCAAACAAGCCTTAAATAAACAAATAAAATCTCATTATTATTTGTTAAAATTTTAGCATAATAATAGATAATAAAAATGAAAATATTATTTATTATTTAATTAAATTTAGTATTCACTAATAATAAGTCAAATGTTTCCCACATTACTCTGCTATGTCATCAATACGATGCTTGTGTATCTGTCCATATATATCAAGAGAGTATTCAACTAGACTTCAGATATATCATCACGATGGAGATTCCGAAGAACCTGTTGCCGGACGAGGCAAGCCCGGAGTGGCTAAACAAGGGGGACAACGCATGGCAGCTCACGGCAGCCACCCTCGTCGGCCTCCAAAGCATCCCGGGCCTAGTCATTCTCTATGGCGGCATGGTCAAGAAGAAATGGGCCGTCAACTCTGCCTTCATGGCCCTCTACGCCTTCGCGGCCGTGCTCGTGTGCTGGGTGGGCTGGGGCTTCCGCATGGCCTTTGGGGACCGGCTTTTCGACTTCTGGGGAAAGCCGGCTGTTGCTTTGGACGACAAGTTTCTGCTCGACCAGGCTTTTCTGGGGTACTTTCCTAGCGCGACCATGGTGCTGTTTCAGGCAGTGTTTGCGTCGATCACGTTGATCTTGGTGGCGGGGGCTTTGCTGGGGAGGATGAATTTCCGGGCGTGGATGGTGTTTGTGCCGCTTTGGCTTACGTTTTCTTATACGGTTGGTGCTTATAGCGTGTGGAGCCCTGAAGGGTGGCTGGCCAAGCTTGGGGTTATTGATTTCGCCGGAGGATACGTGATCCATCTCTCCTCCGGTGTTGCTGGATACACTGCTGCTTACTGGGTACATGGGCTAAGCTAGTTAGAACAACCTCCCATATATTCACTTTTGCTAATTATACTCAAATTTTAGCTTAATTCACTTCAATCACTTAATTATTAATTAGAAATTTACAAATTGACAAGTCTATAAAGGTTAAATTTTAATCTAAATTTGATTTAAATATTAGAATTTGAATTCAATTAAAATATTTAATAAATAAGATATAATTACAAATCTATAATCTTATATAAGTGAATTTAATATAAAATTAAACAATTCGATCAATTAAAGATCTAAATCTAAATATTAGTAATATTTTTTTATTAAATTAATAAATTTATATATAACATTAATAAATTTAAAATTATGAAAATTAAATTAAGAAATATAAAAATTTAAGGATCAATGTAATTGATGGAATAAAATTGATAAATTTAAATGAAAAAATATTATTTTCTTATTGAAATTTAGACTATTCATCATATTCAAATTTGATTTAATAAATATAAATTTTATAAAATTTTAAATCAGATTTAGATATAAAAATAAGTAATCAAATTTGAATTTATTTAAAAAATATAAATTTTATAAAATTTTAAATTAGATTTAGATATAAAAATAAGTAATCAAATTTGAATTTAAATTCAACTAATTTGATCTAAATTCGACTCTTTTATAATCTAAATTTGACAAGTTTAACTCAAATATGTAGAAGAGTATTTGTTATGAAAATTTTTAAAAAATTTTAAGATCTTTTTAGTTAAGAAAATTCAAAAATTAAACAATAAGTTAAATTAAAACTTTTAAATCTCATGCCAAATTGGAGAGAAGTTAGATATGTATGTATATGTAAACACGTACATACATAACAACTGTACGGGGAAATGAGAGAGAGAGAGAGAGAGAGAGCTCAGTTTTATGATCTTTCTGCTGTTTTGTCTATGTTGTTCCTTCCATTGGTTGAATTGACGTTCATGTAGTTAATCGGATTTTCCAATATGACTGGATTCATGAATAGTATTTTTATGAATAAATAGGTGGGACCAAGAGCAGAAAAGGAGAGGCAGAGCTTCCCTCCAAACAACATTCTAATGACGCTCGCAGGCGCCGGCCTGCTTTGGATGGGGTGGACGGGGTTCAACGGCGGCGCTCCTACGCCGCTAGCTCCCTCGCTTCTCTAGCCGCCCTTAACACGCATGTGTGCGCCGCCACCAGCCTCCTTATCTGGCTCTTCCTCGACACCTTCGTCTTCGGCAAGCCTTCTGTCCTTGGCGCCGTTCAGGGCGTGATCACCGGCCTCGTCTGCATCACTCCTGCTGCAGGTCACTGTAATTTCAACATTCCTTAATAATCACCAACTATGATTTACTGTGTGCATGACTGTTTATTACATTTATGACGTCAACATAGTCTTTAATTCATTCTGATTATGATGAAAATTGAAACGTAGTTTCCGGCGTACAAATATTGTGAATTGATATGAACAGGAGTGGTGCAATGCTGGGCAGCCATGGTGATGGGATTAATCTCAGGCAGCATTCCATGGTACACAATGATGGTCCTCCAAAACAAAATAAAGTTCCTCCGGTACATAGACGACACAATGGGGATGCTCCACACCCACGCCCTCGCTGGAAGCCTCGGCGGCGTTCTCGCTGGCGTTTTTGCTTCCCCAAAACTCAGCCGCCTCTTTTACGCTCTGCCACCCAACTCTCAAAAGTACATCGGTCTTGCCTACGCCCTCCAATCGGACCGAACCTCGGCCGGGTTTCGCCAACTTGGCCTCCAACTCGTAGGAATCGCCTTCATCGTCCTTCTCAACATTTTAGTCACTTCATTAATCTGCTTGTTCGCAAAGCTGATCGTCCCGCTTAGGGTGAGTGACGGCGAATTAGAAGGCGGAGACGATGAGATTCACGGAGAGCAAGCGTACGCACTGTGGGCCGACGGGTGGAGGTACAACAATTCCAAGCATAACTCGGTCTATGAGGCTCACGGGTGGAGGAATTATCATAGTTCGAAGCATAATTCGGTTTATGATGCTCATGATTCAGATTATTGTGCTTCATCGTTCTCCAAGTCTCCTCCTAGCTTAGTCCAAATGATTTAATCATACGGGTGTGTATGGTTCTTCTTACAGGAGAGGACCTTTGCCGTAAATATTCAAAATCAATGGTGCTGTTTGTAATTTTAAGAAAAATATAAATCAAATATTCACTCGCCCAACGTGGACAAATGGCACTCTCCCTAAATTCCCGTCAAACCAAATAATAAAAATCAAATTTTTCTTAAAATATTTAATTATATTTTTCGTATTTCGTGTACAGGATACAAGTCAAGGGGCTAAATTGAAGAGCCGTTTGGGAAAAGGTGGAAGAACATTCCTTCGACCCGAAGGTACGCGTTTGAAAAAGTAGGGACACGGAATTAGGTTAGGAGGGCTCGGTATATTATATATGGCCCCAAATCTTCCGTTAATTACATAGAAAGCCATTTTTTTATTTTCGCAATAATAAATATAGAACTATCCAAGAAAGTAAAAACTATGTTCGAATAAATATAAATTTGGTTCCTGAGCTCTATAGAAGTGTTTAATTCCATCTGTCAAACTTCAAATCTTTTAATTTAGTCCTCTCGACTTTGTCTATTGTATTAATCAAGTTCGTTTATTAGGAGTTTGTTATTAGATGGAGAGAACGAACTATCATGTACATAGCTGATTAATTTTACAAACATTTTGATATTTAATAAAATTTCAAATATTACAATCATTTTTATACTTCAACCAAAAATAAGAATAGTTTATATTTTTCTTTCATAATTTTTCTTAATTTTGGTTTTTTTCTTTTTTTTTAAATAAGCAAAAGGAGCTATATTGAATCACAACATTATACGTATTGATTGGAATACTTTTCTGTAGATACTTTCTTATTTTATTTTTTAATTTTTATTAAAAATTTTAATTGTACTTTAATAAATTTCATTACTACAATGTTTTTTTTATCATTCAACCAAAAAAAAAAGAAAAAAAATTCTATTTTTATTTCATGATTTTCCTTAATTTTGGATTTCTTCTAATTCTTTTTTTTAATCAGCAAAATGAGTTATGTTGAATCAAAATATATCACATATCAATTTGAATAGTTTTCTTTAGATAAATATGTTATTCTATTATTTTTTCATGTTTATTAAATTTTAATAAATACAGATGAAATAAAGATAAATATTATTAAAGAAAGCTTAAAAATTATTAGTAATAATATTAACAAAATTAAAGGGGGTTAAAATTGTAGTACTTAATATCCAATACATCTCGCTTTCTTTCATATTTTAATTGAGAGTATATAATTTCATTTGTCAACCATGGCAACTTGATGGCGTTTCCGAAATAATGTCACCACTTAAAAGGCAAATGTTGAACATATGTCATCTGGCGTGAACGAGACCTAGGCGGATTTACCCGGTTCAGGTTCCTGACTCCCTAATTTTAATTTCAAATTCAGTTCGTCCCCTCTCGGTCTCTCTCTCTCTCTCTCTCTTCCCTGTCAGAACCTGTCCCGTGCCGTGACAAGTAAAAATGTCCGAAGGAGGCTTGACCGTCATCGATGGGAGTCACCTGAGGGACATTGACCTCTCGCTCCCGGAATCCGCCGGTAACGTTATTGGAGCGCAGCTTCTCGAGATAGCCGAGTCCAGAGCTTCATCATCTCTGTTCGGCCTTTCTTTGCCTGAAAATCTCAAGTCCTCTGCTCTGAAACGCCTTGATGACGTGGATTCTGCAAGTTTCTCCAGTAGGGAGCTGGATAGGGACCAAGCTTCTTCCTTTCTCAGAGATTACATCACCGCGATCGCCGATCAACTCAAAGGTTTTGACTCCGCATAACAAGTCAATGTATACTTGACAAGTGTATCAACAATCCGAACATGTAGAGATTGTAGAATGCTGTGTTGGATGATCCAATTTTTCTTCAGTTTTGCACCACTTCATGAACAGTGTTTCTTTTCTAGCATCTTTTTTTGGTTTCATCTGGAAATGGAGCCGGATTGCTGATTGTTTACTAGGCTGGGTCTCCTATGTCGATTGGTACTTGGCAACTGAATTTGTTTGTTTGACTCGTGTGTTCGTTTAATCTATACCTAAACGATCCCCAAGTGTTTCAAGTTTTCCCATTTTTCTGGATGATATGGTTGAACGTTATTTAATGATCTACGAAGTTTATTGAACTTCTCATTTTATTGATTCACAGTGGGCACTTGTGGTGAAGCCTGGATAGTGAAAATTCCAGTGTCAGATGGGCTGAGTCCATGCTAATTCTAATTTTTATTCATCTTCCCATGCCTGGTATGGGATATCGTGTCCAAATATCTAGATTGGACACTCAACAAAAATTACTGAAATTTAGTAATTTTTTTATTACTAGAAATATTGAGCTACAACCTGAAGTTACTATGAAAATATAAATCCTTTCACGGGGGTTTTACTCGTTAGTCTCCATTTTGGCTGTATAAGAAGAGGATTTGCATCTTCCCTGTTGGAATCACATCATATCACTAATCTTACGAGAAAGGGAACCACATCATATCACTCATATACCTCTCTCTCTCTCTCTCTCTCTCTCTCTACCACCGAGTGGTCTTAAGGAAGGGAACTAAAGTGGTACTTTTTCTCCTTAGTTCTCTTTTGGCACAATAACCTTCTTCGTTATAATAGATTTGCTATCTTTTGTAGTTTCATTTGTTTGAAATTAGAGAATGTGATCAACAAGACTGTTGCCTTTCTTTTGTTATTCTTAGTTTGTTTATGTTTATATTTCTTGTCCTTTCCTATGTGGAAGCAAATTGCTTAAACTTGGCTGCTTTTTGATTTTTTTTTTGTCCAGAGAACCCCATTGTAATATCAATTTTGGATGGTAGAACACTAAGGCTGTTTTTGGAGGATGAAGATGATTTTGCAATGTTGGCAGAGAATCTTTTCACTGATTTAGATACAGAAGATAAGGGAAAGATTCAAAAGAGTGAGATACAGAATGCTCTTGTTCATATGGGTGTCGAATTGGGAATTCCTCCATTTTCAGGTTTGCTTAATTTCGTTTTATTGATATATTTGATGGAAAATCTTGTAGGCACCTGTATTTATTAAATTGTAAGTAGCGTGTTGTCTCTTGCATTTCGAATAAATAAATAATGACTTTATACCCTTTTGTACGTCAAGGGTCCTTATTCCCTTAATCCCCATCCCCGAGGCTTAAAAACATTCAACTCATTGAACTTCTAGAAAATTGAAAAGATCTGCGAGTTTTGCTAGTTAACTAATTTGTTATAATTATGTGACACATGAGAGTTTTATTCTCAATTCTGGCCTTTCTAATATCTTGAGATCGAAAGAAGACTGGTTCCCACTAATCTTTTTTTTTGGCTAAAATCTTATTAACTGGTGCATCCTTGGCAACAATTGGAGAAGCTACTTGGCCTCCAAAAAGATCAACTTGGGAAAGGGATCTATTTGATGCAAAAATATTAACTTAGACACATCATGAGAGGCCAATAAAACTCTCTAAAATACTTCATTCTACAAACAACAATATGGATGTTAAAAAGTGGCTCAACATTGTGGTGGGTGCTTGTGAAGAGGGTGACCAGCGAAAGAATTGCACTCAGAGAAAGGTAGATGGAAGCCCTTAGATGGCACAGCGGTTTCAACAATGTATCTTAGAGCTTATTGCCAGGACCAATCAAACTCTTTAAATTGAAATCTCTCTTATTTATACAGGTAGTGGGGTATGAATTTGTAAATGGTAGAGCACCACCTTTGGGAAGCTTCATGTCTGGAATATCAGATCTTGTGCTCTGCCAGCACACCACTTGTATGAGTGAGTAAAGGTCACTGCTTGCACAGGCAAAGATAAAAAGAACACACAACTCTTAAAAGATGCTGAATCATGCGCCTGCTTTTTAATAGTGGGACAAATGAGTATCTCTCTCGTTGAGAGACAACCAAAGGCAACCCAGTCAACCAGCAAAATGCCACACAAGATTGGCTGATAGAGGAGCCTAGGTGAACCTTCAACTTAGCCATTGGCCTGCCTGACTTTTGCATATAGCACTTGTGTTAAGATAGCATATCAATGTGCATTGCCAACCAACTTATGAAGTGCGGCTTACTCATTCACAAGATTTGATCCCAAGAAGTGATGTAGTCATTGTGGACAAATTCAAAGTCACTGGGCATGCTTTATCAATAAATGTCATGGTCTTGAAAGAAATAGTGGGGCACTTTGCCAGGATGCTACAGGCTTGAGATAGAGCAGTCACTGCATTGAAGTTGTGCTTTAATGAAAGATAAGGCAGAACTAGTTTACTTAAAGCTATGCGTCACACCCCTTGAAGATTAGATGAGTGTGGGGCAGTGGGGTAGTTTGTGCATTGCTATACAAGAGCATGGAAGAAAAACAAAGGGCATTTTTAGAATTTCACTTGGAATACTTTTAGGATGTTATAGGATTGTAATTAGGGTTAATATGAGTTTTTTCATGTGTTTGAAATGTTAGAGAGTTGCTGGACTTATTTGTGTCAATTTTAGGACTTTGGCAGTCTTTCAAGAGTATTTTGTTGATTTTTAGATTTGTTGATTATGGGTGTTGGATGTGGTCAGGTGGTCTATTTACTGGTCAAGTTATTTTACAACCTTATTTGGAAGCTTTATTTGGTATAGAATATTTTATTTAGTGAAAATTCTAGTCTCCTTATTTTGGTGTCATAGTCTTACTAGGTTTGGATTTAGTGATTGAAATAGTGAAGAAAAATTTGAATTGTTATTTCTTAACTGAAAATTAGTGTTGTCAATGAAGCGGATTTTAATCCGAATCTGATCTGAATTCAATCCAATTATTTAAGATTTGTAACTAATAAAAGATTCGATGGACATAATCCGATTATAAAAGTCCGTAATCCGAAATAAATTGAGGAAATGTGGATTTTTCCTGGTTCGATTTATTAAAGATTGAATCTGAATATATATATGTTATACAAATAATATACATGATATATAATATAATGTAATATTATACATATCACAATATAAACTTGATTTATTTGATTTTAATTAAGAAATTATTTTTTCTTAAAGATAGAATTAGAAACATATTTTTATTCTTTTATAAAAACAAAAAATGGAAAATATGTATGTTGATGAAGTAAATATAATTGTTATTTATTAGCAGTAAGCCACTCTCAAGTGCAATATTTGTAGTAGATCAAATGTAATTATATTATACTTTTAAAATCATAAATTATTTATTAGTTCATTTTTTTAAGAATTTCTTGTTTTGGTTTTCAATTTTTTTAAATAAATGTTAAATAATAAATGCATGATAATTTAATAATTCGGATTCGAATTATTATGTCGAATATCAGATTTTTTTCAGATTCTGATATGGTAGTACTATGCAAATATCGTATATGATTTCAGATTAAATTTGCATAGAGTATACCATTGTCGGATTTGGATCCAAATCTATCATGATCTGGCCCAAATCCAACCCATTGGACAGCCCTACTGAAAATATGGTCCAGTGGAGTGGAGAGGTAAAATTTATGTGGCCGACCCTATGTAGTTGGGATAAGGCTTAGTTGAGTGGAGAAGTTCTACAGGGGTTAGGAAATCCTGTAATCTTTCAATCCCATTAATATTTATTAATATTTAAATTCAGAAGTATGGAAGTTTGAGGATTTTGTAAAGCTTTGGAAGCTTTGATGAACATAATTTTGCAACTTTCCTTGGGGGTATATATCTTGCTGGAGAGAATACTTCTCTTCTCTGTCTTTGTCTTCTTCTCTTGGTATTCACAAATGTGGAATAGCCCCAAAATAGCCCTATATGATATATTTTCATTCTGCGGACCCTTGTTCTCTTGATCTATCTTTCAAGCTCTAACTCAACCTACATCAACTGCACCGCTTTATATGATAGTTCCTTTTTCTCTTTTTATTTCTACAAATATGTGTAAAAACATGATTGTTAGCCTATACAACCTAATAGATTCAATCAATTAACTCCTTTTCCTCTATCTCTTTTTATGTGTAGAAGGCGTTCCATGACCAACTTTTCAAGTTACAATTCCAGTCATCATAATATTATCAATAATGATGTAGCGCTTCCAGTGTCAGGAGCAAAGACAAAAATAGCTTTTTTAATCAACCTGCTATAGTACAAGTCTAATTTGATTAGTTGGATCATATAATAATCTTGCTAGGGCCATAATGGGCCTATTACACAAAGATACAGCTATCAGTTTTAGCCAAACCACCCCAGAAGTTTTTTTTGGTTTCGGCACACGCATGCCAAAATGGCTGTTACGCCACCAATACTTTTCAACTATGAATCCCTCCCTTCCACTAGTGTGCGTGTGTGCGTGCACACACCTGGAGCAAGAGAGAGGATGAAAAATATATGGCATGACACTCTTGATAAATACATCCAGCATGTTGCTTTGTGTAAGTAATATCATAAAAGTTTTGTCATGTCCAGGTAGAATAGTGTGCCTAGGCTTGTCTATTGATGTGTGTGCTTAATGATATGCTCATAAGCTTTGCCTTAAGAATGCTTTTAATGAATATGGATTGATTTGAACATGTGAAATTGGAAGGAAATGCATCAACTTGTAGTGCCAGATCATTTTCTGATTTTACCAAATCCAGATAAAATTTATGATTTTATGATAACAAATCCAGATAAAAATTTGGGCAGCCCATTTTATCCCCCTTTATCTCCCTTCCATGGATAATTTTATCGCACCTTCTGAACTGGATAAAATTATCAAACCTGTACAGTAAATCTTTTTGTCATTGGGACAATATTGCCCTTGTATCTTTTGCCTTTCTTCTCCTTCCTCCTTTTGCCACCATCCTCACCGGTCCGTCTTCTCCTTCTCCGCCACTATGTTCGCCAGTCCCCCTTTTCTCCTTGTTCCGCCACCATCCTTGCCGGACGCTGGTGCGTACAGTCAATGTGGCGCAGCCATGGCCCGATCCTCCTTTCCCCATCCCGATCAGCCCTTCCCACCGTTGCCCCTCCCACCTGCGTGAGCGTGAGCAACCCATGGGCCTGCAGGCGCTTGTGTGAGCGGGTGCTGGATCTGCAGGCGCTTGCGTGAGCAGGCACTCGAGAGAGAGCGCCAGATCTGCAGGCACCGGGAGAGAGAAGGCCAGTCACGAGAGGGAGAGGGAAGGCCAGTTGTCGAAAAGGAAGGGAACGTCAGTCACCGGAGAGGAGAGGGAAGGTGAAGCCTGTGAGGGAAGGGGCAATGTAGTAATTTAGTTTATTATCCGGTTTGTTATCGGGGCAACCGAACGTGTGATAAAAACATGGTTACTATAGGGGCAAGATAAATTTTATCCTACCTGCCCTATCAACCTTTATCTTATCTCCCAAAACGAATGCCCCTTACTTGTAATTATGCATCTGTTACTTATAATTCCAGGACAAGTTAAACAGAGGAGACTTGCAGTTACCCTTAATTGCTTTTGTTCTTGTTCATTTGGGATGTGCTTCCTGTTTTTGCTTCATATTAATTTGGGAGTTTTGTGGTTGGACAGAATTTCCTCTGCTGAATGATATCTTAAATAAGCATGGTGCAAAGGGGGAAGAGGAGCTGGGCAGGCACAATTTGCCCAACTACTACAAAGAGTTCTGCAAGAGTTGGCAGATGCCCTTGCCATAAATCACGTTGTTGTTATCCAGAACATCAAGATTATTAATGGTTCTAAGTTAAGAAAGGTAATTTATTTCCCTTTTCTCTAAAATGATATTCAGAGTACAATAGCTGTCATATTTTTGCTGACTGTGGCATACCATCTTTATATGATAGCTGTGATATGAGTATGAATTTGCATACTATATTCTTGAATCTGAATAATTGGAATTGATTGAAAAGGAGCAAGAATATGTTTGGATAATTATTTGACAAGCCTAAGAAATAGAGCATTTTGAAATTAGTTAAGAGATGAAACATTACATTTTTTGATTGATTTTACCGGGGGAAGAGATGAGTTTTTCTATGATGATTAGGAACCAAAGTTGATTGTGCCTCCCTTCAGGGAAGTTGGATATCTAATGTGTAGTCAGTCTTTGTCTAATTC